GCCCCCGCCCGCGATGCGGCGCTGAGCCCAGCATGGCCGGCCCGGGCCCCACCTTTCCGCTGCACCGGCTCGTCTGGGCAAACCGGCACCGCGAATTGGAGGCCGCGCTGCACAGCCGCCAGGTGAGGCCCGCCGGACACCGGCCCGTCCTTCGGGCCCGCGCCCCAAGCCGCGGCCCCAGCCTGGAGGCTGCCCGCGCCCGCAGCCCAGCAGCCTCAGCCTGACTCCCTAGCCGACCTGATCCGGAACCTGCCCCGCGCTCTGGGCCCTCTGGCCTCGGCTCTCAGCCTGGGCCTTCCCTGCCTGGCCTGCCCATCTCATATTGCATCAAGCCCCCGACTCACGTCGCCCCTGAGCCAGGCTGGGAGCGAGAAACCCGGTCCTGGCCTGTCCCCAGGCCGGTCCGAGCTGCTAACATCCCGCAACTCTACCTGGCCAGGACCTCCACCCCTGGGAGAGGGCCGGAGAGGTGGGCAGGCCCCTCCCACTGCTGCTTCTCTGCCATTTCCCTGACTTGTCAGCCATCCTGTTCCCCTCAGTGACCCCCAATCCTGTTCCGCCCAGTACCCGCCTTGCCTTGGTCCTTTCTAGTCACTTTGCTGAGTGTCTCGTTTTCCCCAGCATGACATTGAGCAACAGGATCCCCGGGGGCGGACCCCCCTGGAGCTGGCGGTGTCCCTGGGGAACCTGGAATCTGTGAGAGTCCTTCTTCGGCACAATGCCAACGTGGGCAAGGAGAGCCTCCAGGGCTGGGCAGGTACTGCTGAAGGCAAAGGGACCCCTTGGGAGGCTGGTGGCAGGGGTGGAGGGAGGGTGAGCTGCCAGGCCAGGGGGTCCCGCAGCAGCCTGGTGCCCTCAGTCCTGCAGGAGGCCGTCAGCACTGGGGACCCGGAGATGGTACAGTTGGTGCTTCAGTACCGAGACTACCAGCGGGCCACCCAGAGGCTGGCCGGCATTCCAGAACTGCTCAACAAGCTTCGCCAGGTACTAGGGCCGGCGGGGCTCCCAGGTCATCGGTGCCTGGCTTTCCCAATACTGTGGATGAGGTCTGGCGCCCTTGAGCCCAGCCCAGGGTCACGTAGGAGACCTGGGGAGGAAACTGAGCTCTTGAGAAGGAAGGCCTTTGCCGGTGTCAGGGGTCTTCTGGTGGCGATTCTGGCACGGTAGGTCTTGGACCTCCTGCTATATGCAGATTTCCTTGAGGGGTGATGTCCAGTCAACTTGACAGATGTGACTTGGGCTCCTGGAAGGCCCGATCCCATGCCAGGCACAGGGGACCACCCCTCTGAAAGTAGGCAGAGAGGCCCAGCTGGCAGAGCACGTGCCGATCCCTGTGCCCCTAACCCCAGGGACGGTTCCAGGGGCGTCATGTGTTCCCTTTGTACCAGAGGACTCTGTAGCCCAGAGGGGCGGCTCTCCTGGGACCCCCAGCAAGCTAGTGGCCCTTGAGACTGGCTCCCAGTCCTCCAGGTGCTATAGGCTGATCCCCGAAGACCCTCTCAGGGTTTGGTTGGGGCAGGGGTGTGGCATCAGGGCCAGCTGAAGGGCTGGGCTCCGGGAAAGGAGGTGTGGATGAGGAGACCAGTCCCACAGCGCCCAGCAGCAGGAGGGGCCCTGACAGAGGCTCTGGTCCATCCCAGGCCCCCGATTTCTACGTGGAGATGAAGTGGGAGTTCACGAGCTGGGGTGAGTGGGAGTGCCCGGCTCCGGGGGTTTTGGGGTGGGCGCTGGGGAGGAATTGTGGTGACCCCGACACCCCTGCAGTGCCCCTTGTGTCTAAGATGTGCCCAAGCGACGTGTACCGCGTGTGGAAGCGTGGTGAGAACCTGCGGGTGGACACCAGCCTCCTGGGCTTTGAGCACATGACCTGGCAGCGTGGCCGCAGGAGTTTCATCTTCAAGGGCCAGGGTGAGCTCAGGGGCCCTCTGGGCTTTCGAGGACCTTTCTCCGCACATCCCAGATGCAGAAACTGAGGGTGAGGGTGGAGGGGGCCCTCTCCCCTCTGTTTGGGGCCTGCCACTGACTTGTGCCCCATCCCGCACATGCTGGCTGGCAGAGGCAGGAGCCCTCGTGATGGAAGTGGACCACGACCGGCAGGTGGTCCACACGGAGACGCTGGGGCTCGCCCTGCATGAGCCGGAAGCACTGCTGGCCGCCATGCGGCCCAGTGAGGAGCACGTGGCCAGCCGCCTCACCTCTCCCATCGTCTCCACCCACCTGGACACTCGCAACGTGGCCTTTGAGAGGTCAGCTGGGGCCTGGCCACCGTGGGTGAGACGGGGCAGATGGTGGAGGCCTCCAGTGATGAGAGCAGGACTGCGGGAAGCTGAGACTGCTCCGACGGGAGGGGTCACCACAGGCCAGGGGTCTCACCCGGACTGCCTGTGGGTGGTCAGGGCTCCTGGGCCCCCGGGATCCACTATATGTCTATCTTGGCAGTTGTGTTTCTGGGGAAGGGATAGGACAGGGTGTCTCCAGTTTCTTGATCTCTGGCCTCACGTTTTTCCGTAATAAGGATTTCGGCTGTGGGGTAGGGCAGCTGGGCCCCTGGATACTGCTTATACCAGTGCTTGGCTTGTTAGTAAGGCTGTGCTTGGAAACCAAGGAGCCTGATCCTCTGGCAAAAATGCCAATTCTCCGACCACTTATGCCCCCATCTAATAACAGACTTCAGACACTCTTGAGAAAACCGACAGCTTTCTGGAGATAACATTCACATACCATACAGTTCACTCCTCTGAAGTGCACAACGTAACGTTGGCTTTTTAGTATATTCACTGATACGTTCAGCCTTCACCACAATTTAGGGTACTATCTTCACCTTGAAACCCCGTAGGCTTTAGCTGTCACCCCCTTATCCCACCATCACTCCTCAGCCCTGAGCAGCCACTAATCTACTTCCTCTATACATAGACTTCCCTAATCAGAACGTGTCACTTAAACAGAATCATGTAACATACGGTCTTTTGTCTCTGGCTTCTCTTAGCATAATGTCTTTGAAAGCCATCCACGTTGTAGCAGGTATCAGCACTTCAGAACCCTGACTGAGTAATATTCCATTGTGTGAATAGACCACGTGTTGCGTATCCATTCATCCTTTGACGGGCATTTGGCGTGTTTCCACCTTTGGGCTATAAGGAGTCATGCCACAATAAACATTTGTGTGCATGGTTTTGTGTGGATGTATGTTTTCATTTCTCCTGGGTCGATACCTAGGAGTGGAATTGTTGGGTCATGTGTAATCATTTGAGGAACTGCCCAATGGTTTTACAAAGTGGCTGTACCAGATGACATTTCCAAGAACAATGTACAAGAGATTCTATTTCTCCACAACCTTACTAACACTTAGAATGATCTGGCTTTGATTCTAGCCGTCCAGGGGGCTGTGAAGTTGTATCTTACTGTGGCTTTGGTTGTGGGAGCTCTGGTAGCATAATGCCTGAGGCACTTGACTGCTCACCAGAAGGCTGGCGGTTCAAACCCACCAGCCACTCCTCGGAAGGAAGGTTGGGCAGTCTGCTTCTGTAGTGATCCTGCCTCGGCAACCCAAGGAGGGGTCGCTATGAGTCGGGCTGAGTCGAGGCACACAACAACAATAGCAATGAGGTTGGGCATCTCTTCTGTGCTTAAAGCTGCTCCTTCCTGGCAGAAAGTGTCTGTTCTGATCCTTTGCCCTTTTTCTTTTTTAAGGTTCTTTTTTTTTTTTTTTTAAATTGTGATTGAGGTGTCCTTTGTTCGTTTTTTAAAGTGACTTCTTTGTCTTTTTTATTATTATGTTGTAAGAGATCTTTATATATTTTACATATAAAGACCTTATCAGGGATATGATTTGCAAACATTTTCCACCATTCTGTGGGTTGCCTTTTCAATCTCTTCACAAAGTCCTTTGAAGCACAAACATTTCTAATTTTGATGACAAAAGGTATCTGGTGTTTCCATTTGTGGCTTGTGCTTTTATGATGTCATGTCTCACAATCCTTCGCCAAATCCAAGGTCATGAAGATCTACCCCTATGTGTTCTTCTAAAAGTTTTGTAGTTTTGGGTTTACATTTAGACCTTTGGTCTGTTTTTTTGGGTTTTTTTTTCTGGTGGGAAGTATGGATCCCACTTCATTCTTTTGTCTGTGGTTCCAGCACCTTTTACTGAAAAGACTCTTCTTTTTCCATTGAATGGTCTTGGTACCCTTGTCAGAAATCAGTTGACTGTAGATGTCTGGGTTTACTTCTGGACCCCCAGCTCTTGTAGGTATACATGTCCTTATGCCACTTCCTGATGACTGTTGCTTTGCAGTAAGTTTTGAAATCTGGACATGTGGGTCCTCCTAATTTGTTGTTTTTCAGGATTGTTTTGGCTCTTCTGAGTCTCTGGTGATTCCATCCATATAAGTTTTGGAATCAGCTGCCAATTTCTACAGAGAAGTCGGCTGAGAGTCTAATAAGGATTGTGTTGAATCTTTAGACCAGTTAGGGAAATATTGTCACCTTAACAATGTGAAGTCTTCTGGTCTGTGAACATGGGATGTTTTTCCATTTATGTAGCTCTTTTCAAATTTTTTTCAACATTATGTTGTTTTCAGAATACAAATTTTGCACTTCCTTTGTTTAATTTATTTCTAAGTGTTTTAGTCTTTTTAGTAGTATTGTGAACAGAATTTTTAAAAAAATTACTTTCATATTTTTCATTGCAAGTGTATAAAAATACAATTTATTTCTCTCAACTGATCCTGTATCCTGCAGTGCTGGTGAACTTTTTATTAGTTCAAATAGTTTTTTAGAGGATTCCTTAGGACTTTTTATACATAAGATCTTATTGTCCGCAAGTAGAGATAGTTTTACTTCTTCCTTTCCAATCTGCATGCCTTTTATTTCTTTTCTTGCCAGATTGCCCTGAATGGAACCTTTAGTACAGTGTTGAATACAGGTGGCAAGAGCAAATCTCCTTGTCTTGTTCCTGATCTTAGGGGAAAGGTCTTTCACCACCAAGGATGATGTCAGCTGTGGGTTTTGGTAGATGCCCTTTATCAGACTAAGGAAGATCTCATTACTTCTAGTCTGTTGAGTGGTTTTTTTTTTTTTTTTTTTTTGTCATGAGAGGATGTTGGATTTTGTCAAGTGCTTTTTCAGTGTCTACTGGGATGATCATGTGACTTTTATATTTTATCCTATTGATTTGCAATATCACAGTAATTGTTTTTTGGATGTTGAACCAACCTTGCATTCTTGGGATAAATCCCACTTGGTCATGGTGTATAATTTTTTTATATGTAGCTGGATTTGGTTTGCTAGCATTTGGTTGAGGATTTATATGTCTGTACTCATAAGAGGTCTGTGGTTTTCTTTTCTGGTGATGTCTGTCTGGTTTTGGTATTTGAGTAATACGGGCTTTATAGATGGAATTGGAAAATGTTCCCTCTGGGAACATTTTTCTGGGAAGAGTTTCTGAAGAATTGGTATTAATTCTTCTTTATATGCTTGGTGGGATTCAATGTTGAAGCCATCTGGGCCTGGGGTTTTCTTTGTGGGTAGTTATTATTATTACTAATTCAATCTCTTTACTTGTTACAAATCTACTCGGATGATCTGTTTCTTCCTGAGTCAGTTTTGATAGCTTGTCTCTCTCCATGGAATTCATCCATTCATTTAGGTTGTTTATTTTGTTGACATACAGTTGTAGACAGTATTCTTTTACAATCATTTTATTTCTGGAAGGTTGGTAGCAATGTCTCCTCTTTCATTTCTTATTCTAGTCAGTTGAGTGATCTCTATTTGTTTATTTATTGGTCAGTCTGGCTCATTTTGATGGTATTTTCAAAGAACCAGCTTTTAATTGCATTGTTTTTCTATTCTCCCCTTAAAGATTCTGCTTGGATCTTTATTATTTCCTTCCTTGTGCTTGTTGTGGGTTTGGTTTGCTCTTCTTTTTCCAGTGTCTTGAGTGGAAGGTTAGGTGTGAAGTCTTTCTTTTTCAGTGTAAGCATTCACAGCTATAAATTTCTCCCTAAGTGTGGCTTTAGCTGGGTCCCTAACTTTTTGTAAGTGTGTCTTCCCTTTCATTCATCTCAAAGTATTTCCTGATTTCTCTGGTTTCTTCTTTGCCACAACAGGTGGTTTTTCTTGTTTTGTTTTGTGTTTTTCTGGTGTGTTAGGAGCTCTCTGGTGGCATAGTGCCTAAGGCATTTGACTGCTAACCAGAAGGCTGGTGGTTCAAACCTACCAGCCGCTCCTCAGAAGGCAGGTTAGGCAATCTACTTCCTTAGAGATACTGCCGCAGAAGCCCAAGGAGGGGTCACCATGAGTCGGGACCAACTCGATGGCAGTGAGTTTGGTTTGGTTTTTTGGTTTTATTTCTGCATTTTTGTAAGTTTTTCAAATTTTTCCCTGCTGTTGATTTCTAATTCCCTTCCATTCTGGCCGGGGAACATACATGGTGTTATTTTGATCCTTCTCAGTGTATTGAGGTTTGTTACATGGCCTACTGTGTTCTGAAGAATGTTCCATGTGCACTTGAGAAGCATGTATGTCTTGTTGCTGCCGGGTGGACTGTTCCATACATGTCTATTGGCTTATAGTGTTGTCCCAGTCTTCTGTTTCCTTGCTGATCTTTGATCTAGTTATTCTGTCATTGAAAATGGGGTATGGAATCAGACACACTTGTAACTTCTTGTGAAACATTTCAAACATATATGGAAAGAGAAAGAATAGTGTCATGAACCTACCCTCCATCCAGCCTCAGCATTTAGCCACATTTTACCAATCTTGTTTAATCTAACCTTCCTCATCTTTTTTTTTTTTTTTTTTCTGGAGTATTGTGGAGCCCCTGCCAGGCATGTCATTTCAACAGTAAATGCTTCTGCACTTGACTCTAACAGATAAGGATGTTTCTTAACCAACTGGACCCCATTACCACACCTCTTGAAATTAACGATAATTCCTCAGTAGCCTCCAATCCCCAGTCCTCCTTCAAATGTCCCCAGCTGTCCAGGCACCTCCTCAAGGCCTTTGCATGTCTCAGAGTAGGAAGTGCCCTCGGGGGTGGGGTGGGCTGGGGTGTGGGGAGCTGTCAGGGCAGGCCCATTGGAGTGAGAGGGTGGCTTGGCTAGGGGGCAGGGGTGTGCGTCCTCATGAGCTCCTGTTTGGTCCATTCCAGGAACAAATGTGGTATCTGGGGCTGGCGGTCTGAGAAGATGGAAACTGTGAGCGGCTACGAGGCCAAGGCAGGAAACGCTAGCAGTGGGGGCCTGGGGGGCAGATGAAGCCCGGGACTCAGCCCCTTCTCCGTGTCCACCCGAGATTGCAGAGGGACAGACAGAAGAGCCCTTGGGCTCTCGAAGCCTTGCGTAGCCCCTGCGAAGCACGTAGGGGTCCCTCACAACAGGGACCCTGACCCAGGGGATCAGGAAGGGGCAAAGGGCTACTGCTCCTCATGGGTATCCCCAGGGTTCGGGCCCTGCCACCTCCTCCATCGGTGGGCACATGAACTCGTCAGTCCCTGGAGACAGGAAGACTCAGGTCCTCCGCCAGTGAGGCTGAGTGTGGGGGGCGGGCTCTGAGTTCCTAGCTTCCTGTGTCTCCCCATCCCCAGGTGTACAGTGCCACCAATGTGGAGCTGGTGACACGCACACGCACTGAGCACCTCTCTGATCAAGACAAGTCGAAGAGCAAAGGTAAAGCCCAGGTGCGCCTCCTGCTGCCCGGTCACCCAGGGTGGGGGTCACCCTAGTCTGGGCTTACGGGCCAGAGAATCCTGGGGCAAGCGGCCGCCCATCCTGCCCCCCATCCTGCCCAGCGGGAGGCTCCTGGGATCCATCCTGGCACCACAGAGTGCTCATGGAGGAAGGGATGGGTGCAGTCTGGCAGTAGTGACTCCAAGTCCCCTCACGGCTTGCACCCCTTCTTCTCAGGGGGGAAGACACCATTCCAGTCCTTCCTGGGGATGGCCCAGCAGCACGCCTCGCACAATGGGGTGAGCCCGGGCCAGGCCGGGCCAGGCCAGGCCAAGAGGGTTGGACCAGGGTGGGGGGACGGGGGGCCAGGCTGGGCTGGGCAGGCCCCCTCCTCAGTGCTCAGCCAGGTCCCGGGGCCCCCCAGACTCCTGTACAGCAGGCGGCCAGCCCCACCAACCCCACGGCCATTTCCCCCGACGAATACTTTGACCCCAACTTCAGCCTGGAGTCACGGAACATCGGCCGACCCATAGAGATGTCCAGCAAAGTACAGAGGTGAGGCCTGGGGCAGACTAGGGACTCGCCCCCACGGCAGGGAGCCCCCGAACCCCTTCAGACTCCTGATGCTCACAGGGCCCACTTGAACAGGGGACCCGCTCACATGGCTGGCTTCCCCCTGGGCTCCGTTTGAGAGCAGGAGTGAATCTGGGTCATCTGTGGTCCCAGCCCTCAGCATGGGTGTGACCTGGAGAGTTAGCCACTCTTCCTGGGTGATTGAATGAATGAATGATAAAACGGCTTGGTTTGGGGTTGAGTGCAGGGCGTCTCTCCTGAGTACTGCTGTGTGTCAGCACATGGCAGAGGGGACAGAGAGGGCTGGCCATCTGGAACCAAGGCTTGGGAAATTGTCTCCCTCAGTTTCCATCTCAGTCAAGTGAGAAGGGTCACCCTGGCTGCCTGCCACCTCACATAGGCATCACGAGGGCCCGGTGAGCAGTAAAAGTGACAGCATTACCACATACCAAGAGCTTACTGGGGGCCAAGGACTGGGTTATCGCTCACGTGGGTTCTCTTCTGCCACTCAGTGTGGAGCCTGGTGGGATCTGAACCCTGGCTCCTGGCCCTTGGGCCGCGAGTGTGAGGTGTTGGCGGCTGTGGGCAGCAAAGGGAAGATGGTGGCGTGGAGGGAGCCCAGGGGCAGCCCCTTGCCTGGCCTCTGCCCTCCTCACCCAGATGCTGGCACAAACCCTCCTGGACCTCAGTTGGGACACTGGATCTGGGGGTAGCTTGAGCTAGAGGGCCAGGACACCAGCTCTTGAGGGCAGCAGGGCAGCCAAGCAGAGAGGAAGGTGCCCCGGGTAGGTGAGGGCATGAGTGACAGGCAGGTGTCCCGAGTGGGGCTTTAGTGAAGGGGCGTCAACCTCACCACCCAGTGGTTGGCTGGGCAGGTTCAAGGCGACCCTGTGGCTAAGTGAGGAGCACCCGCTGTCCCTGGGGGACCAAGTGACGCCCATCATCGACCTCATGGCCATCAGCAATGCCCACTTCGCCAAGCTGCGGGACTTCATCACCCTTTGCCTCCCACCTGGCTTCCCCGTCAAGATTGGTGAGAGGACCAGCCAGAGGCAGGGCGGGCCAGGGCAGCAGGAGGAGCCCAGGCCGGGTGCCCTCCCCTCAGGGCAGTTCCCAGCTGGGGGAGTGGACAAGATGCTCCAAAGGGCCAGACCACTCGCGTCTGTGCATCTCGGGGTATGGCTCAGGCTTGGCCATCTCCCACAGAGATCCCCCTTTTCCACGTGCTCAACGCCCGCATCACCTTCAGCAACCTGTGTGGCTGTGATGAGCCCCTGAGCTCCGTCTGGGTGCCGGCCTCCAGCTCTGCAGCTCCAGGTACCCAGCCAGGAGGCAGCGAGCAGCTCAGCTTACTGGCCTCCGAGTCCTAGCCTGAGCCTGGCACCTCCCGCCCCTTTCCAGGGAGCCCCTTCCCGTGTGAGGTGGACCCTGCTGTGTTCGAGGTGCCCGAGGGCTACAGCGTGCTGGGCGCAGAGCGCAGCGAGCCCCTCAGAGACGAGGACGATGACCTGTTGCAGTTTGCCATCCAGCAGAGCCTGCTGGAGGCCGGCACGGAGGCAGAGCAGGTGTGGCATGGGCGGGGCCCAGCTGCTCCGCCAAGTGGCACAGGTGATAATTGTGGGCTTCTGCTGTGCAGGTGACTGTCTGGGAGGCCTTGACCATTGCCCGGCCTGGCACCCACCCTCCTCCCCAGCCCACGGCGTATGAGGAACAGCTTCAGCTGGAGCGGTGAGGCCCCCTGCGAACCTTCTGGGCTGCACCCAGCCCCACTGCCTGGAGGACCCAGCAGCCAAGGCTGGCAGGGTGGGTGGGGAGCGGGGAGGTGCTGGGCCCGGGATCCCATGTCCTCTCCAAGACCACCCTCATCAGCAGCACCGCCCTCCACTGCAGGCCTTGTGAAGGATGGTCCGTCCCTTCCTCCAGCCAGCCACTCTGCCCATGCCCTTGTCCCCAGCCCCCTGGTCCAGCCCTCAGCCTTAGGCTCACCAGGCTATCTCCCTCTCCCACTGCACCTGGAAGAGCCCTCCAGGAAAGCCTGAGGCTGTCCACAGACCCTGGGGGCCCAGCCTCCCCGCACAGGACACCCCCTTCCCCAGCACCCCCAAGCTTTGAGGAGCAGCTTCGCCTGGCCCTGGAGTTGTCTTCGCGAGAGCAGGAGGAGCGGGAACGACGGGGGCAGCAGGAGGAGGAAGACTTGCAGCGGATCCTGCGGCTGTCGCTCACGGAGCACTGAGGGCCAGGCCCTGGGAGGGCTGGGCCACTGCTCGTGGGGGGCTTTTATAATTTATTTATTTATTTATAAACTGCTGCTAAGCTTGGGGCCTGGGGCCCGGGTGGGTGGGCAAAAGGTAGAGACTGAGGAAATAAAGGCCTTCAGCAGCAGGCTTGCTCTGCTCAATGGCCCCGAGCCAGGGGACAGGTGGGGGTTGGCATTGGGGGTGTGTGTGTGTGGGGGGGTGCGTGCTCTCAGACCTGGGGGCTGAGCGGGAGCGAGGGACTCAGACCCGGGCTGGAATCCTGGCTGCAGGATCGGCATTCCGAACCAGTTTCTTCAGCGGTAAAACGAGGCCAACCCTCACGTCCCAGGGCTCAGAGGAGCCTGGGAACAGGTGATCCAGAGTCACCTCCTGTGCCGACCGACCGGCTCGGAGAACTCGGTGCTGGGTGGAGGCGGGCGCTCACCGCCCCGCCCCGCTCGGTAACAGCGAACAGTGGGGGCACGGAGCCGCGCCCAGGTGACCTAACGGCGGGGCAGGGTGCTTCCTGGGCGGAAGGAGAGAACCCGGGAAGACCCCACAGGCGACGAGGACTCCGGCTCGTCCCTCTCGGCCACGGGTTCAGTAAGGCCTGTGCTCCCCAGGGTGCACCTGCGCTCCTCCCCGACTCTGGCTCCGCCCCGACCCGCCCCCAAGCCTCGGCTCCGCCCCCCTCAGCCCGCCCCCGGAGTAGGAGTCGGGCGGGGGGGCGCGGCGGCCGCCCCAGCAGAGACGCGTAGGGCGGGGCCGCGGCCGCTCGGTGCGGGCTCCGCAGGCCGGCTGGGCGGGCGTCTGGCCCTTTAAGGGCCGCCCCCGGGGAGGTGCCAGGCCCTGCTGGCTCCAGTCTCCCCTTCCTGGTCCTGCGGGGCACCGACTGTACGTGGGGCAGAGGGAGGGGGCCGTGTCCGTCGCCAAGCCAGGTGCCCTGGCCTGGCCCCATGGCCTTGGTCACAGTGAGCCGCTCGCCTCCGGCCAGCGGCCACTCCACGCCCGTGGGGCCCCCGGTGAGTCTGGCGTTGCTGTGGTTTTGCCCACGCAGTTGGCTGCCAGCTGGGCCCGGGCAGCACGTCTTGCCCACGGGCAGCCTCCCTTAGAGCCCGGGGGTGCGCGGAGGGAGACCCGGAACTCGCACTAAGGCAGCGTCCGGAGCCCTGACCCGGTGCCGCCTGCGGAGCACCGCCTTCCCAGCCCAGAATCTCCACGTCTCCCTTCGCGGACGTGGACCCCAGCTCCGGGCTGGGGTGCCAACTGGGGTGGGAATAGGATCGGCGCCGACGGCTTCGCTAGGCAATGGCCCCTGCCCAGGAGCCTCGCCCCCTGCCGGGAGGGCCTGGGAGGATTTCCCTGGAGCCCCTTATTCCCAGCAGCCCTGAGAGAGGGGAAGGAAGAGGAGCGCCCCTCTCTCTCACTCTCCCCATCGGGACCCCTTTCTCGGCAGGACCAGGCATCCCAACGGAGAAGCCGGCTCCAGCGACGGTGAGGCTCCCCCAAATAGAGACACCCTCATCCAGCCCCAACCTGGCCTTAGACTCCAGGTGTCAGGGCCAGAGGGCCCCGTGGGGGACTTGTTGCTAAAGCCAGCGCCCCGGTGGGCATGGCTGCTCGCCTTAGCTCCCACCGTCCCAGTCAATCGGGGCTCCTTCACCCGCCACGCTGGACCTGGCCCAGGCCAGTGGTCCCAGGCCAAAGGGCAGGACAGAAGAGCAGGCCTGAGAACTCCTGAGCCCCCCCCACACACACACACACGTTTATGGCTTCTCCTGAGGGAGGCAGGTGCGGAAAGGAGCAGCAGTCCCCACTGTCCTGAGACA